AGTGCCATTTTATTTTCTCTTTATTTTACAATTGGAATTAGCGTTCTTCATTTTATTTTCATTTCTCCTTTAACATTGTTTAACCCTAACTCAACATAACCTTTACACCATCATTCTCTTTCTCCTCCTCCCCCTCTTTTGCTATCCTGTTTATCTTAACCCTTTTCTGCTTTAGATTTCTTTACTCTCTCTGTATCCCCCCTGCTAAAATTTCTACCCTACTTATATATCTTATCTCCCATCCCTAGTGCCAAGTGCATACACACTCTTCTCTGAGCTATATTAACTAGCAAAAAAAAAAAAAATTGTTTTCCTCACGGTTCTTTCGATGCTGCTTGGGGGAATGATGATTATATTATATTTTTATACTTTTTAAGTGAGAATGTTTTGCTTAATCTTTTGTTGTTGCTGGTGCTCAGTATTTTCTTATTTGATTGGTTTTTGTTAGTTGTTATTTTATTACTTCTGTTTTCCCTTACTGTGTTGGAAATTAGGAGATGTTATAGATTGTATTATTCTCCAGGTACTGCTGACACCATTTGTTGGGGTTAGTGGTTGTTCAATTGAAATTCTCTCCCCATATATATAGTTTGTTCCCCTTCTCTCTCTCTCTCTCTCTCTCTCTCTCTCTCTCTCTCTCTCTCTCTCTCTCTCTCTCTCTCCCCCTCTCCTCCCTGTTTCTCAAATTCATTTTGACACTCTTTTTCCTTCTTTTTCTTTTGCTCCCTCCCTCCTCTCTTTTTACTCTTCCTCTTTCTCCTCTATTCCCTAATTTGCCTTTCCCTAGTGGTTACCTTTATTGAAAGGATAAACAAGATAGATGGACCTCTAGCCAGGCTAACCAAGAAACAAAGAGAGAGGACCCAAATAAACAAAATCAGAAATGAAAGAGGTGAAATAACAACAGACCCCACCGAAATACAACGAATTGTTACAAAATACTATGAACAACTCTACTCCAACAAACTGAACAACCTGGAGGAAATGGACATATTCCTAGAAAAATACAAACTTCCAAAACTCAATCAGGAAGAATCTAAAAATCTCAATAAACCAGTGACTTGGGAAGAAATTGAAACAGATATCAAAAAGCTTCCAGCAAACAAAAGCCTAGGGCCAGATGGATTCACAGGAGAGTTTTACCAAACATTCAAGGAAGAACTAAAACCTATCCTCCTCAGACTATTCCAAAAAATCCAAGAGGAAGGAACACTTCCAAACTCCTTCTATGAAGCCAGCATTACCCTAATACCAAAACCAGATAAAGACAACTCAATGAAAGAGAATTACAGGCCAATATCCCTCATGAACATAGATGCCAAAATCCTCAACAAAAGGTGGGAGTACAAGGATCATTCCTCAACATAATAAAAGCTATATATGATAAACCCACAGCCAACATTATACTCAATGGGCAAAAACTAAAACCATTCCCTCTAAGAACAGGAACAAGACAGGGATGCCCACTCTTGTCACTCCTGTTTGACATAGTACTGGAAGTTCTAGCCATTGCAATTAGACAAGAGGAGGAAATAAAAGGCATCCAAATTGGATAAGAAGAAGTAAAGTTATCCTTATTTGCAGATGACATGATATTGTACATAAAAAACCCAAAAGACTCCATTAAAAAACTAATTGACTTAATAAATGAATTTGGCAATGTAGCAGGATACAAAATTAATGCCAAGAAATCCATGGCATTTCTATACACCAACAGTGAAACTGCAGAAACAGAGACTAAAAAAGAAATTCCATTTACCATTGCACCAAAAAAATTAAGATACCTAGGAATAAATTTAACTAAGGAAGTAAAGGACCTATATGCAGAAAACTACACGACACTGAAAAAAGAGATAGAGGAAGATGGAAGGAGATGGAAGAACATACCATGTTCATGGATTGGTAGAATCAACATCATCAAAATGTCCATACTTCCTAAAGCAATCTATAGGTTCAATGCACTCCCCATTAAAATACCAATGACGTATTTCACCGACCTAGAAAGAACTTTGCTAAAGTTCATTTGGAACAATAAAAGTCCCTGAATAGCCACAGCAATCCTGAGAAAGAAGAGTAAAGTAGGAGGGATCTCAATACCAGACTTCAAACTATATTATTGTACAAAGCCACTGTTCTCAAAACAGCCTGGTACTGGCACAAGAACAGACATATAGATCAATGGAATCGAATTGAGAACCCAGATATCAACCCAAATCACTATGCTCAATTAATATTTGACAAAGGAGGCACGGATATACAATGGAGTCAAGACAGTTTCTTCCATAAATGGTGTTGGGAAAATTGGACAGACACATGCAAAAGAATGAAACTAGATCACCAACTTACACCATTCACAAAAATAAACTCAAAATGGATACAGGACTTAAACATCAGACGGGAAACCATAAAAATACTAGAAGCATCCACAGGCAGCAAAATCTCAGACGTATGCCAAAAGAACTTCTTCACTGATACTACCCCTAGGGCAATGGAAGCTAAAGAGAAAATAAACAAATGGGACTACATCAAAATAAAAAGCTTTTTTACAGCAAAAGAAATCATCAACAAAACACCAAGAAAGCCCACTGTGTGGGAGAACATATTTGCAAATGATACCACTGATAAAGGTTTAATCTCCAACATCTACAAACAGCTTATACAACTAAATAAAAGGAAGATGAATAATCCAATTAAAAAATGGGCAATGGACCTAAATAGAACATTTTCAAAAGAAGACAGAAGGAAGGTCAAAAGGCACATGAAAACATGCTCAAAGTCACTAATTGTCTGAGAGATGCAAATCAAAACAACAATGCGGTACCATCTCACACCTGTCAGAATGGCCAACATCAACAAGTCAACAAACGACAAGTGTTGGTGAGGTTGTGGAGAAAAAGGAACCCTCGTGCACTGCTGGTGGGAATGCAGACTGGTGCAACCACTGTGGAGAACAGTGTGGAGTTTCCTCAAAAAACTGAAAATGGAACTCCCATTTGACCCAGTAATCCCACTCCTAGGAATATATCCCAAGAAACTAGAAACACCAATCAGAAAGGATATATGCACCCCTATGTTCATAGCAGCACAATCTACAATAGCCAGAATTTGGAAACAGCCTAGGTGCCCGTCAGCAGATGATTGGATCCAAAAACTATGGTATATCTACACAATGGAATACTATGCTGCCATAAAAAAGAAGGAATTCTCATTATTTGCAGCAACCTGGATGGAATTGGAGAACATCATGCTGAGTGAAATAAGCCAATCAATGAAAGAGAAACACCACATGACCTCACTCAGTTGTGGATGATAAAGAACATTATAAACTGATGTACCAAAAGAGAGATATAGAGACAGTATATCAACAAGTAGACTGTCAAATAACAAGCGTGGAGGGGAGGAAAATCTGGGGGAGATAATAGATCAACCAAAGGACTTTTATACATGCATATAAGTACAACCAATGGACACAAAACTCTGGGGAGGGAGGGGATGTGTTGGAGGGAGGGAGGGGGGCAAAAAAAAATCAATAAAATATATAGTAAAAAAAAACAAAGAAAAGAAAAAGAAAGTAGGAACCAAGAAAAGATTTCTCTTTCTCCCCATTATTCTTTTTTTTTTTTTTTTTACAAACAGACATCAAATATCTTTTATGTACAAGTGCACTGTGAATGACAGTAATGTTTAAAAAATAAATCTTTATTGTTCATATTATTACAAAAAAAATGGAGTACTCTTAAATCAGGTGAATAAGAGGCCATTTCGGTGACCAGCTCAGCCTTGGGAAGCCAGCTGGAATGTTTTTGATGTGGGGCAAAGAGATTCTTACCTTAAAAAAGTATAAGCTCAGGAGAGAATCTCTATAAACCTCCTAGTAAGTGAGAACTTGCAGGATTGCAAACTTTAGCTTGACCTACAGAATTGAAATAGCCTGATAAGAGACCTTAAGGAAGTAACAGTCTCATCATGTCCAGCAAGTAGGTAAAAAGCTGAAATGACCAATTACCTGGGGTGTGATAGAAGCAATTCCTAAATTAGATGGTAAATAGCTTAGATGACTCCAAGCATCTGTGCAAAAATAAGTGTGAGAGATACTCTGTGACAGAAGAGGGTGGGGTTACAGAACACAAAATATGGTATAAAGATTCTAAATGATTCTTAAATGAAGCCTATCAGAATCACTGGGGGTTTATTCAAACTTTACACACTCCTAAGTCTCAGTTTCCACCCCAATTTTTAAATGTATTCCCCATGGTAAATGTATGTGTACATTTGGGTAATTAGGGAGGACATGGTGCTTATGATGCTTGTTAGACTGGAGAATACATAAAAGCAGGAATCTCTTTTCATCCTCATGTAGAAATGACATATCTTGGACCCAGTAAAGTAACTTCTCAAGTTCAACAGAGGGAAAGAGTTAAGTTGCAGAATCAGATGTTCTGGTTCCTAATCCTAAACAATGTCAAAATATTCCATCAGAATTCACACCCCATTCCCAGTCTGGTAATAGACATTTCATAGCAGCAAATGTTAGAAGGATGAAGGCAAATAGTTGATTCAACTGAATGGTCAGATCCTATCTAAAACAGAGGCTCTCAAAGGCTTGCCTTAAAATTAATTCTATTGGGTCCCTAGCTCTCCCTTATGTTGACCAAGAAAAAGAGCAAACACCATACCATGAAACATCATTATGATATGATTCTTGAATTCATGATTCTCCTTCTAGACTATCCTTTCCAGCTGAAACATGGCAGGGATTTGTCAGCCCTTGATCAAAGTGCAGATAATAAAAAAAGCTACATCATTGGAAATATCATGGAAAATTAATCACATAAAAGATAGTATTTTGATAGCAGCAAACAGAAATGCAGATTAAATGACACATGGACCTCTACACCAGCAGGACATTTCTCAGAACAAAAGTTTGAGAACATGAACATTCACAGATAACACATCAAAGGAATTTAATTTATGAAAAGTAAAAGAGCAAGTAAATATCATTATCTTAAAGCTGAAAAACATTATGTAATAATTTATTATTCATAAATTGCTTTTTGATTCAAAGGAGTCCCTAGCCCCATTGTGCCCAGTTTCTAATAGGATTAGGCTACAGCAGGACAAATAAAAGGGAAGATTATGAAATTCTTACCAATACAATATTTTAGCTCTATTGTGGTTTTGCCTTCTTTAGTTGATTCTGATACTTCATAAGTGTATATTCCTATCACAGCTTGGCTCTTGTCCATCACCAAAGAGGCACTGCCTGTTAATAGTGCACCTGGTACAATGTGTGCACTTGAAAATTCACTGGTGGGTGTGGATTTGTTTTTCTCTCCATCATAGTTGAAAATATATTTGTCTCTGAGCTTCCACTTTACAAACATTTCTTTCAGGCTCTTTGCCACCGAATTAGTGAATAAACATGGGATGAGAACAGTTTTATTTATTTTTTGGTATATTCTACAGATTTGATTTTAGTAAATAATAGTGGATCTTTAACTGGAAAAGAAAAAAGAAAATAGTTTCATTTCATTATTGAATTATATAAGGTAAGGTCTTAGAGATGTTACAAATCCGTAAGATAAAAGAGCAATGCTTCAATTGTCCCCTAAAGTAAGCAGTGCAGCTACAGAGAGATGGCAGGCCATTTGAAAAAGTGAAACAAGTTACTTTTATATTAGTATGCACAAATGGAAGACACCATTGTAATGATTCCTTATTCCTTCTCAGTAATACACAGTATACATTATCAAGTGTTTTCAAAATGAATTCAGCAACCTGTGTTGGATCATGCAGTTGTATATTTGGCTTCAGAAGCTTTGAAGTCACAATTGTTGCTTACTGATGTATTTAGAAAAATCTTATACTTACCATGGAAAAATTTTTAATGGAAAATCAAACCAAATATTATATTCAGCCTCAACTTCTATGTATTGCCTCCAAACAGAACTTGCTAAAACCATGTGAAGTGTATCTCTATTGTCACTTTGCATTTCCAAGCAATGTCATGAGATATAGTGTAATTTAGTATAAAAATTAAATAGGAGAAATCAAATTACATCTACCCTCTAAGATGGAAAATCTTAGAATGCTAAGTACAAAAAAAATATTCTCTGCCTATATCCTATTGGAAAATACAGACAGCAATGGACATTTGGTATGCAAATAGTATAAACAGATATAAACAATTGAAAGGCATTTTCTCGCTCCCACATTTCAATGAAACTATAGAACAACAATTTCCAAATTCATATTTCAGGTATTTCTTCCTCCTCAAAACCATAAAACACTCAAAATAAATCTTAACAAACAGTTGAAATCAAGAACAGATATTGGTACTAAGTAGATATATCCTATTAAAAACTTCTCAGTATGATAAACTACTAGTTGTCTTACAAAAATAAGGGATGGAAAAGTAATTACAAATACTCATCTTTCACCTAAAATATGCAATATTGTGGAGAAGTTGTAATTCTCTTCCATATTTTTCAGCCATTGGACTCTTTGATATAAGTAGTTAGTTGAAACAACAAAGCACTAACAAATATAGATATTAACTTTAAGATTTTATTTTTACAATCCTCCTTGTATATAAATTGGGAATAAAACTCAGGGCCATAACACCTTATTATTATAGGGTAATAGTATTCAATAAATGCCCATTGAAGTGAATGCTAAGATTCATAATGAAATATGAACTGAACAATGTTGAGAAAGCCTGAGTATAAATGCTACCTGTCCCTTGTCAGTATGTGACCTTAAGTAAATCACATTACTTTTTTGTGCCTTGGTTTACTCTCTGCAAGTAATTTGAAAAGAAATGAACACTGGACAGCTTCACAGAGTTGTGGTAAATATCAAAGAAGCAAATACATGGACAAGTGCCCTCTCAACAATGCTCTGCTTACATATGCAGGTAAAACTCTAAAAACTGGGCAAAAGAGCATTTTATGTAATGATCTAGACCTTCTCTGACTGAGAGATGCAAATTGTTATGTTTCTGGGAATTTGCAGTCTGAACCAAGCTTGTGGTTCACAAGCTCATTTCTTCTGAGTTCTCTATGCTTCTAGCCATCACAATAGTAGGGAGCCCCAGGCAAAACCTGGATTCTGGTTGCATTTTTCAAAATCTTGGGCTTCTGAATTATTTTCCCTGAGAAAGAAGCATTGAGGGGGTGGCTATAGTGTACAACAAGGAGAGAAGAAAGTGGTTTTGATGTTGGAATTAGAAAAGAACAAAAGTGTCAGACAATACTTTAATAATCCCCTTACTCTCTTCAGGCTAAACAGTAAATGTATTATTACCATGGAACACAAACTAGGCCCTTCAATGCCTTATCCAGCTACATCTCTTGTCCTTCCTAATTTCCAAACTAAGGTTCAATTATAATGACCCTCTTGAAATCCCATGAATATGCCTGTGTGTTCTAATATCCATGCCTTTGCACATGTTTCCCCAGCCTAGTGGCCTGACCCTTCTCCACATGTATAGGTCAGAACAAGTATTTTGGAGTCAGATATTGGCTCAAGCCTTAGCCCCTTGTAGAGATATAACCTTAGGCTAATTATTTAACCTCCGCACCTCAGCTTTTTCATCTATAAGATGGGAACTGATAGCATATATCTCCTGGAAATTTTGTTAAAGTTTAATGAGTTAAGGAGCACAATGTTCTTATCTCAATGTCTTCGCATACTTAGCAAATGTTCAATAAGTGGCAGCTAAAGGTGACTAACTTTGGATCTTCTTGCTAAAGCAGAGTTCAGATGTTTAATCCTGTTACCTTTCCCTATACTACTCAACTGTATTCATCCTATCTTTGTTGTTCCCATCACTCCATCTCAAGTACAGTCACTACTCTTAATACTAAATTTTGTAATTAATACTTGATTTAACTGGTCTCCCCATTTGGTTCAAAAGGTAGAAAAACAAGGACAATGCCTTCGTTTGGTAACCTATGGTTTAAACTCAAGTTAAGTAAGTATGCTTCATTATATTCTTTATGAATGTAAAAATGTTAAAATATGAATCCCAAGAAAGCAATACCCAAAAATGTGTATCAGAGCAGATTCATTCTTCTTCCATAATTCAAGAGGACCCTCCACTTCTTATTTCTATAGACATGATTATGGAATCATGAAGGTACATATTTAAATGCAAAATTTCAACTAAAGTCAATTGCAGGTGAGAAGGAAGGTTCCTTAAATTTGGCAGAAGAGCCAAAGTTAGTCAACTCTAGCTGCCATTTATTGAACATTTGCTAATTATGTGAAAGCTCCCCAGATCATGAATATAGCTGAAAATTGAAATCATGACACAAACAAGATTACCCAGAGTCCTTTCAAAGTAACAGAGCAGGTATCAGAGAATTAAGTGTTGGAGAATACCATTGATTACAGAGCAAATAGTTAAAAAGGTACAAACTAGGAAAGTGAGAAGTATTGTGAGAAGCAGGTGAATTAGCAAAGACCTCCACTTAGACATGGAGAAAGTTTCTTGATATGGACAACATAGATGTCAAAGCAATAAGTACAAATAGCTCCTAGGTTAAAAATTACATCACTGGGTACTTTATCTAAAAAATTCCGAAAGACTAGTGGGTGAAAACTCATACTGCATTGGGAAGTAAATAGAAGAGGAAAGAGAGGCAATTATTTTTTTCATTAAATTTGACAGTTGATGAGAACAGAGATGGAAGGTGATATTGGAAGGTCTATGGAGACAGGTACAGGGTAAGGTTTTTTTTTTTGTTCTTCCTGTATTCATTTATTCATTCATTCATTCATTCATTTATTCATTAATTCACTTACTTATTAATTTTATTGTTTTCAATATGGGATAAAACTTAAGCATGTCTTCAAGTTCTAGTGAAAGAACTAATGGATAAGGAAAGGCCTAAGATACAAGACTGAAGAATTAAATTGATTCGGTAGGTCTCCAAGTTGGTGGAAGTTTAAAGTGCTGTAGACTTTAATGTTCTTTTCCTTAAATAGGTGAATAGGTATACTTCTGAAACTGGGTGAGAAGGGAGAAAGTCATGAAGGTTACCTAAGATATTGGTAAGTTTAGAAATGGTGGGAGGGAAGTTGAGAGAGTTTACACCATACATCAATACAAATTTTTTTTGTAGCAGAGTAGCATGTTAACTTTCTGCTTGGAATGGCTGTTTAGAAATGGGGTAAGAAATCCCAGCAGTCACTAAGATAAATGAAGCAAAGCTCATGAGTAAAAATACCTGCTAGAAATGAATATGTTTTGCCACAGACCTTGAACTTGGAATGAAAAACTGGAACTTCAAACAGAATGGGGTTAGAATTAGGGTCATAAAAGAGGATTTAGTCAGATCCTTCCTCAATAGAGATCAAACAAGGACTGGGATAAAATTTGGGTGTCCACAATGCCTTTAGTTCTGACTCAAAGTAATTGCCTCTGCATTGTAAAGTGGCCTTAAAAGAACTAAAAAGGTTGAGCTAGAATTACAGGGAGAAGGGCAGCAAGATCCATAATTGAGGCCTTATCAAGCATCTAAAACATATTAAGTACAAGTGAGGATAAAGACAATAAAATCCCTGCTACATAGTAACTGCATTGTATGTTATTAAGAGGCATGAGTCTGAAATTTGTCTCTATGTCCAGGAAGGCCTTGTAAAGTGCTTGGGAAATAGTAAGAGGGCTCATATATGGCTTGAATACCCAAGAAATAACATTTTGTTAGAACTTCCACTTGCCCAATTTCCTGCCTTGTCTTTTAACCCATCAGTGTGACACATATTGAAATATGTATAAATATTCTCAATTCCTGGGATGACCAGATATGGAGTCATATACAACTGTTCCATAGGTATGGAAGGAAGTAGAGGAGGGTGTCACCTCTAATTCCTATCTCACCTCCACATAACCAAACAGAAGGGAAGTACAGGTTCTATGGCGTTTGCGTAGATCTGTCAGAATCAAATATCCTGGGTGCTCTTTTACCAGTAATTAGTAAATCAATCTGAAAGTTTTGCATAGAAAATTAAGTGAATGGTTGGGCGGTGTCTGCCCTGGGGTCCTCAACAAGACTTGGACCGAATTTGCCTTCAGACCTCCTCTCTATGGGCGGCCCAGCAGACTGACAGTAGGCAGGTTTGGAGCCAGCCTGTATTAGGCCCCAGTTCAGAGGAAACGACATGACCTCAATGCCAATGTGACCTTACTAGAACTCTTGACTAATTATAATAATATTTGCATTTTAGTTTTGACCCCACCCCCTGTGGGTTTTCTGTATACATTTTGATAAGGGCATGCTCAAAAGAAAAATAGTTTCAGTCAATCATCCCTGAATGCAAGTGAAAGGCTCCACAGAGTTGTTGGCCATGCTCTCTCTAGCATGTACTCTACCTCCAAGGAGCAATCCAATGCTATTCCCTTCCCTTGCTTTCCCCACAGGCACATATTCCCTAACCTCTAAAGTAGGGGTGTCGAACTCAATCAGAGAAGGGGCCAAAATCTAAAATCCAGCCTAAATCGCGGGCCGAATGGTTTATGAACAGTCATAAACTGTCACTGTGATGGAAACGCAGCAGAGTGCAGTGATGACAGCGCGGTGCGGGCCACATTGCAAGGCCTGGCGGGACGGATTTGGCCCGCGGGCCTTGTGTTTGACACATGTGCTCTAAAGGAACCCATGATACTTGTATTCATGAAGAAATAGGCAGCTGCAGCTCATCCTGGGCTCACCTCCACAACCTGTCTCCAAAGCTCCCTTTTCTCTGACTTCCCAGTGAGCTACAGCAGCCCTGCCTTTGGCTGATCTTGCCATTTTGTCTCCCATACTCTGTTGACTGTCTGGCCTCTCATTTCGGATATATTTTCAATAAGTCCCATTTTGCTTCACTTTTATTTTCTGTTGATCTTATGTTCTTCTGTGCATTGACAAAAAGAACCAAGGCTCCAGGCAATAATCCCAACTGGTAACAAAAGCAAAAGTCTGAGTACAAATGACCATAATAGTCCATGAACTCTCTTCCTCATTCTACAGTCTAAACTTAATCTTTCAAATACCTCGATTTATAACTTCTTGTGCTCTCAGGCTGTTAGCATCTCTTCACAGGTTCCCTTTTATAACTAAATATTAAACACACAGAAATCCATTGGTTTTTATCCAATAACTATAAGCCTTGTGAAAAAAGAATTGTGCACTAGAGTGGGGTTCCTCAGCATGGCCTGTTCCCTCTTGTAGTCCAGGAGCTCTTAGGGGATGTGTAACTGAAGGCTTAGGACTGCTCCCTCCTGTGCTGCAGTCTGGCCTCCCTCTGAGGGAGGCAACCTGAAGGCTGATCTTGGGACCACCCTGCCTCCCCACTTTGCTCCTCAGACACTGTTGGTCCCTGCAGCTCCTCCTTCCCCCATCATTGTCCCCTCCCTCTGCCTGCTGGCTTAAGCCTTTGTTGGCCTGGCTCAGGCTGCTCACAGGTCCTGCCCCCCACAGACCAGTCATTCAGCAGTTTGGTCCATTGGCATATTACACTTTTATTATATAGGATCGACACAGCTCAAGTGCATAAGGCCTCTATTCCATTTTTCTTTTATAGGTTATTAATTTAGTAGGCTAAGATAACATATTCTGAATTCTCTGACTTTATAGGGTCTTGAGCACATTAATATTATATGTAAATGCATGTTTGTTATACATGTTCTTAACTATTACTAACAGAAATCCTGTTCCCCAAAATAACATTCTAGCAGTTTTTTATTATCTATTTAAAAACAGGACCCTTGTTTTTAAAATTATATATGATTTATCATTTTTATTCTTCAGAATAGCTTTTGATGCCTACAGCCCAATTTAGTAATACCACATCACAATTTACAATGTGGTTCAATATACATTCTGATCAGGAAACAGGTTTCTGAAAGCAGTATTATTTTAGTTATTTTGATAGTAACAACAATGATCCATTAATGATAATGACAGGGAACACTACTTGATCCAATATCAACCCTTCAGATAATAGACATAGTGATTATAAACAGCTCCAACCATCCCAGGATTTTCGGAGAATGGGGAGAGTGACAGGAAAGGTCTTAAGAGCATCTTGAAAGCAGCTTAAGTCACAAGGCTTTATGAATGTCACAGTAAGGCTAATAATCAGTTTAACTGTAATTAAGTTCAAATTATAGAATTAAATATAACAATTGCTTGTTATGTTACTCAAACTCAATATGAATCTTAGAAATAGTTAACAAATGAGTCTTTGCATGTGAAATATGACAGGCATAGCATATAGAGCCACACCAAGAAATCACCAAGAAAAATTGGTTTTCTTCAATTTTTATAAAGCACACATTCTTAAAAAATAATAGTTTCCCAAAGCTTGGGGCCTAAATGCCTTTGGCATAGAAGAACACCAAATTACACTTAACTGCCAATTGTCTTCGTATTTCAAGTGAATTCCTTTGCAGTTAAACTGTTACACAAAACAAGGGAAACTTAAATGGGCTCTTTGGACTCTATTAAAGTGGTTGATGGAATGGGGAGGTTGAATTTCCAGAAAGTCTATTTCTAGAGTTAAATAAGTTAAAAAAAAAAAAAAAAAAAAAGAAGGGGTGGGATGGGGTGGGGAAGGGAGGATTCTTCTGATTAAATGGTGTGTTGGGCAGAAACCAGTTTGGTTCAGTGGATAGAGCATTGGCCTGCAGACTGAAGGGTCCCGGGTTCGATTCCGGTCAAGGGCATGTACCTTGGTTGTGGGCACATCCCCAGTAGGGGATGTGCAAGAGGCAGCAGATCAATGATTCTCTCTCATCAATGTTTCTAACTTTCTATCCCTCTCTCTTCCTCTCTGTAAAAAAATCAATAAAAATATATTTTAAAAATAATTAAATAAATAAATAAATGGTGTGTTGGAAATGAAACTTAATTGTATCAGTTATGTCTCCCTTACCTTCCATGTTCATGTGGGAGGGTAAACAAGTAAAAAAAAAAAATCTTTCAGACTTCGCCAAAATATGCACTTCCATTGAAAGATGCCAGGCTCTCTCATTCTCCCGCCTTCTTCCTTAGTGCATTTAGGAGGGAAGAGGTGTTCAAAGGAGAAGACCCTCACAGCTGCCACCCAATGGCCTCTGATCAGGCCCTTTCTCTCTAGTTAATTTCCGCTCAAGTTGCTTGGTGTGGAGTCTTCCTGGTACCTGTGTCTGGAAGCCCAGTGCAGGGCAAGATGAACTGGCTGTCACCTGGTAAGATGAAGAGGAGTGAGAGGAAGGAAGAGAGGTAGGGAGAGGAAGGAAAAAGGAAGGGAGGAAGGGAGGAGCCTGAGTACCATCTGGCTCCCAACTTTCCTGTCAGGACAAGCAGGGCCCTTGCATCCCGCACCAGTCACCCACTCAAGGGAGTTGCAGGGCCAGCAGGGCACAAGGCAAACCCTGCTGGACACCAAGGAGGTGGAGACTCCATCTGCAGAGCCATGATAGGGGCCACTCACCTCAGCTAGCAAATCCCAGCAGCAACAGCAAAAAGAGAAACCACATCTCACTTGTGACTGCAAAGGGACAGCTGCCACTGCCCTCACCTCCAGGGCAGCAACAGGAGCAGTCACCACCTTCACAGTCAGAACCCTGTGGCTTCGCTGCCCATCAAAGCTGGTCCCACAGACCAGGTTGCTGTTCGAGTTCTAGAGCTCTGGCCAGACACCTGCTCCCAGCTCAGGCAATGTGGCCACTGAAGGGAGTCACTCGGATTCCTGGACTCATCCATATTCCCTGAAGTTCAGCCAAGACCCCCAGCTGATGGAGGCCAGGCTTTGAGGGAAAGCCTAGCCTTGCCCAACACTATCCCAGCACTAATCTCCAGCCTCCCTCTCCATGAGAGGCTTATGGTCCAGCATGCCTCTCCATGAGAAACTTGGGGTGTATTCCTTCTCTCACAGGGTATTCACTGTCCCTGCCCCTTTCCAAGGCTCCTGTGTTCTTTCTTGCTCCATCCCGGGCCCCAGGATCATCCCTCCAATGTCTCTCCAGTTTGAAAAAAAATGGATTCAAAATGTGGCTCCAAGCCACAGTATAACAAGGCCTTCCTTAAAATAATAAATAAATAAATAAATAAATAAATAAATAAATAAATAAATTTATCGGAATGATATTGATTCCCAAAACTATACTGGTTTCAAGTGTACAACTCAATGAAATACCATCTACACTCTGCATCCTTCTGTCCCCATTCCCTCTTCCCTCTGACAACCTCCATCTACACTCCCCCCACCCCTTTACCTCTGGCTATCTCCACACAGTGGTCTGTGTTATGCATATATTGTTTTGACTAATCCCTGCACTTTCTTTCAATATCTCACTGTATTACAGAGGCACAATATTCAAACTTAAGGAAAAGACCTTTAAAAACTGTTCAGTAACATTTATCCTAAATGATGAGCCAAAACCAGTTTGGCTCAGTGGTACAGCGTCGGCCTGCGGACTGAAAGGTTCCAGGTTTGATTCTGGTCAAGGGCATGTACCTTGGTTGCAGGCACATCCCTGGTAGGGGGTGTGCAAGAGGCAGCTGGTCGATGTTTCTCTCTCATCGATGTTTCTGTCTCTCTGTCCTTCTCCCTTTCTGTAAAAAAAATAAATAAAATATATTAAAAATAAATAAGTAAATAAATATCCTAAATGATGAACTTTCTTGTTACAAAGTCAGTCTCTGGTGGCTACTCTAATAGGTGCATCAAATTTTAACTTGATGTTTTAAGATTGTGATGGCTTTTTTGAGGCACTGAATTGGGAATAGCCTCAGTTATTTAAACAAACCAGAATCGCTGCCATCAGCATTTTATAGTTTCTTTCCTTTGCAGTACAGGTGGGACTGGGAAGAGGATGGATTTCTTTCCCAGGATTGTTCTGTCATGTGACCAAAGAGATTTTTTTCTTGGTGTGATTAGGGTCCTCAATTAGTTGACTTTTAGATAATGAGATTGCCCTCCCTTCTCATGACAACCCAGCTTTAGCACCTCAGTTCCTCAATTCATAAAATAAAACGTACCAGGGAGACAACTAACATTTGCAAAGTACTTTGGTTTACAAAGGACGGGTACACAAGGAATCTCATGATGCTTGTTAGACTGGAGAATACATAAAAGCAGGCATATCTTTCCATCCCCATGTAGAGATGAGATAACTTGGACTCAGTGAAATAACTTAAAAAGTTCAATAGAGGCAAAAAGTTAAGTTGTAGAATCAGATGTCCTGGTTCCTAATCCTAAACAATGTCAGAATATTCCATCAGAATTCACACTCTTTTGGTAATCTGGTAATAGACATTTCATAACACGAAATGCTGGCAGAAAAGTAGTGCTCCCAACCAAGGTACATGTCCTTGACCTGAATCAAACCCAAGCCTTGCACAGAGGCATTTGCATATGAATATCCTAGTCTTTTGCTATCTAAAACCTAAAAACTGCAGCTGGGTTAAAGAGTCCTAGAACTTCCAAAAGAAGACATAAGGCTGTCCTATAGGGCCCAGTGGCTCAGCCTTCCTAATTACCTGAAGAGGCTGGACACAAGTGTGTCTATATGAAGTTCATCTCTATTTTTAGTTTATATTTCCAAGCAATGTCATGAGATATACTGTACTTTAATATAAAAATTAAGTTGGACAAATCAAATCACATATTTCCTCTAAGATGAAAAGTCTTAGAATGCTAAGTTCAAAAAAATATTCTCTGCCTAAATCCCATTGCAAAATACAGACAGCAATGGACATTTGGTATGCAAATAGTATAAACAGATATAAACAATTGAAAGGCATTTTCTCGCTCCACATTTCAATGAAACTATAGAACAACAATTTCCAAATTCATATTTCAGGTATTTCTTCTTCCTCAAAACCATAAAACGCTCAAAATAAATCTAAGAGTTGAAATCAGGAACAGATATTGCTACTAAGTAGATATATCCTATTAAAAAGTTCTCAGTACTTTAAACTACCTGTTGTCTTACAAAAATAAAGGATGGAAAAGTAATTGCAAATACTCATCTTTCACCTGAAATATGCAATGTAGTGGAGAAGTTGTAATTTTCTTACATATTTTTTAGCCATTTAACTTTTATCTAAGTACTGAGTTGAATTTTCCCTTAAACAACAAAGCACTAACAAAATAAATATTAACTTTAAGATTTTATTCTTACAATTATCCCTGTATATGAATTGGGAATAAAACTCAGGGCCATACCACCTCATTATTATAGGACTATATTATTCAATAAATGGCCATTGAAGTGAATGTTAGGATTCATAGTGAAATATGAAATGAACAATGTTGAGAAAACCTAAGTATAAATGCTACCTGTCCCTTGTCAGTATGTGACCTGAAGCAATCCGCATAAATTTTCTGTGCCTTGGTTTACTCTCTGCTAGTAAGAGGATCAGTAATGAAGACCAGATAGCTTCACAGAGTTGTGGTAAATATCATAGGAGCAAATACTGTAATGCTGTGCCTTGCATATACAGGTAAAACTCTAAAAACTGGGCAAAAGAGCATTTTCATGCAATGATCTAAACCTTCTCTTACTGGGAAGTGTTAGTTGTTATGTTTCTGGGAATTTGCAGTCTGAACCAAGCTTGTGGTTCACAGGCTTA